TCGCTTTCTGTGTCCTGCTCCGGCAGCTCCTGGGGCCCTGGAAGGGGCGAGAGCCCAGGATTGGGGCAGGGCGGCCACCATGCCTGGTCCCCCGACAGGGCAGGGCGCCAGGGCCCAGGGATTCCCGGAGGAAGAGCAGAGTATCGGGATGCAGATGGATGGGGCGGGAGGGGGACAGTCCGCTCTTACCCAGTCGCTGCTGGGCCTGTGCTGGCCCCCGGGGGTCAGTGGTCTCTGCTACCTGGACGGAGAGGAGGGTCACAGTGCCCAGAGTTCAGCCGTAGCTGATGCCAACCCCACCCCTGCCAATGGAGACCCAACCTCCCAGCCCAACACCCATCTCCCTGGAAGGGAGAGCAAGCCAGGCAGATACACGGGCAGAGCGACAGGAGCCCGAGTATGTCTTGGGAAGAGGAAGAAGACAGACAGACAACCAGGAAGGGGCTTGGAGACATCAGGAGGCAACAGCATCACAGGAACATGGGAAAGAACCAAGGGGCGACCAGACAGGCCAGCTGAGCAGGTGACACAGGGCCCCCGGGCGCAGCAGAGGTGAGCGGGCATGAGCAACACCAAGCCCCCTGGGCACCGACTGCAGCCACTCACCAGCCCTTGCTTCTGGGGCGCCACCACCAGCACAGCCAGGACAGTGAGCGGCACAGCCAGCAGCAGGGTCACCAGGGAGGTGGTTCCTGCCACAGCCAGCAGGAGGCAGCCCTTCCCCTGGGGCCTCCTCCCCCAGCCCTCCAGCCCCAGTGACCCCATGGAGACTGAGCCAGGGCCAGGGCAGGGGGGCTTTCATATCTCAGGGGTGGGGCCCCCCCTCCCCTAGACCCACACACCTGGCTGGGACTTTCCACACACCCCTGCTCCCCTCACCCAGCTTCCTGTTTACCCAGAGCTGGGGTGGGGCCGCTGGATGCCTGGGTTCCTTGAACTGGGGAAGGAGTGGAGCGAGGAGGCAGGCTTTCAGGGTAGATCTGGAGGGTGGCTCAGTGGCGGGCGC